AGTAATGTTTTTTTTTTTTTCAAAATGATTAGTTATTATGTTTTTTCTATCAACATATTTTTCGTATATATTATCATAAATTTAAACTAGAAACGCTTGACTACTTTTGAATTACTGTAGTTATATAAAATACGTTTTATTTCAGATATAAATATTCATATACAAACAAATTTTACATTCAAATGGAAATTAATCATCAGTACCCAAACAGTACTAAAACGACAACAATGAATGATGAAAATAAACAAAAAAAATTATTGGACAATCCTATTGATCCATTAGGTTTAACTCGTCCAACAATGCTGCCTACGGTAGATTATCAATATATTTGAAAGTATTTTTATTTACTATGTTTTTTTTTTTTTTTTTTTTTTTTTTTTTGAATAGGCAACAAATACAGATGTCTATGTACGGTATTCTGGCATTGACAATATCAATATGAGTCCGTCACCATTAGATACACGACCACGTCTATTTCAAGCAGGCTCATTAATTGATTCAAAAACTTATGTACAAATATTATCCGAAGTTTATGCACCACCAAATATCAAGTGCAAAGAAGAGAAAGAAGAATTCAATAGTGAAGATTTAAATGATGATACTGATGAACATTTATTCGATGACGAAATTCTCAATCAGCAATGTGAACAGGAAATTCAACGACTTACTCAAGTTATTCGAAGTAGTCAACCTGAAGACGGCAATGAGACTGCTAGTATTATTATGCAACAATTAAATGATTTATTAGCAACAAAACAAACAGCAATTATCAATGATAATGAAAATCCGATATCACAACATCCAATAGGAACTTATGCAACAACATCAACAATGATACAACATCCTTATCCACCTGTTAATCAAACTGGTCTTGTTCAAGATCACGATCGTCCTTATGCTGATTATGGTCATCTTAATCGACAAACTATAGCCGAAGAATGTCATTTTAATTTACAAGTACCAACACGAACAACAACAACAACTAATACACCAACTATTCGATTGGAAGCAAAATCATTTGCTATTACTACATTTACAAATGTATCGAAAGAACTAGTTATGAATAAAATTAAAGAAGAATTTGGTATTGAAAATATTCAATATATTTGTATTGGCGAAGAAATAAGTGAATTAAATCATCAGCGACATTTACATATACAAATTATTTTCAAAGAAAAAATTGATCGAAGAAAACCATTTCTTGATGATATAACTCAAACACACTGTAATTATCAAGTCACACAAAATGATTGTGCTTGGAATGAATACATTAAGAAAGGTGGCAATTGCATTGAATTTAATGAATTTAAATCAACAAAAACACGTGGAGGTGAAACGTATTGGCCACCTCAAACACCATCATCATCTTCTTCACATATGGCTTCAAGCATATCGGACAATCCAACTACAATTACTATTAATCACCCAACTACGACTACTATTACGACGACAACAACTACGACGGTAAGAGCACAAGCCGAAGAAAGACGTAAACAAAAAGAATTTATTGCAAAACAAGCAATTGAATTAGCAAAATCCAGTGTCAATGATGCTTTAATATACATGCGAGACAATGCTAATGCAACGGAATTTATTCGATATGCTACATGGTATGAATCACATCTTTATTTTTCATTCTATTTGAACATATATGTATATTGATAATTTTAGGTATAAAAATACATTTACTTTAATTTACAGCTTAGAATTATTTGAAAAAAATAAGATGAAAAGAAGTCTCAAAGCAATATGTACTTGGTCAAAATCATTTCCTCATTGTACATCAGCATTACGTACGTATACATTTTGTAAAGACATACGAAAAAAGAAGTTATATGTTTGACTATTATTCCATTTCTTTTTTTTTTTTTCAATATCCTATATATAGGTGAAGTCGTCAATCGTTGGATACGAGAAGAATTTCATCGTACATCACGAGCTAAATGTTTAATTCTTATTGGACCAAAAGGCACTGGAAAAACAACATTTGCTAAATCATTATCCCGTCAATACAATTATTTTAATGGAAAATGGGAATCAGACAATTGGGATGATTCTGCTAGTTATTTAATTTTCGATGATATTCCATGGGACCAATTTGAAGAATTAGGTTTTCCTGTTAAGAAATCATTATTTACACAAAATGGTATTACTTTTGTATGTATTAGTCATATTTTTTTTTTCTTTTTATTTTTTTTTTTTAATTCTTTTCTTATGTGTTCAACTTTTAATTTCTATTAGACTACAGATACAGATGGAGAAATCGCTGAAATCTATGTTGCCCAACCAGCGATTATACTTCTAGAACCTGGACAAGCCGAGGGAGCACTAGGACG